GCTGATAGCTTAGTGACTGTCTTTACCAGCTTTATGGCTGAGGACATTCAAGTCAATAAGGTTTTGTTACTCTAGGCTGTGCAGAAACCTGTATGAAACCATGTGCCATGCCTGTGTGAACCAAAATTCTGACCTGACCAATAATTGTCAGTGTTACTTCCTACAATTAAAACCATCGTTCTCCTTCCCCCGAGGTTAATCAATTCCAAATGCATATAAAATACATTCAGCAATTATTATTGTGAATGGAGAAAAAGCAAGGGAAGGAAAACTTAACACATGGATCAGATAAGTTTAAATGGCTTATGTTTTGCAAGATACTATGGCTAAATACTGAAAAAAGTAGGAGAAGAAACCAAAATTCAAATTATATCCCTGATTCCTTCAGCATGTCTGAAATGTTGGAATCTCTAGTTTTCTCACTATTCAGGATGCCAGTTATCAATGAGGCCCTTAAGAGATAAACCTCAAAGGTGATGAGTGCTATTCTGTATGAGGGGGATTTTATGGAGGGGAATATTCACAGTCTTCCATTTGGTCTGAATAAGCAATTTCTGTGCGTGTAAATTTGTCCCATCTATTTGTCATGTTGTTGGGATTTGGTCATGAGGTTTGTTGTGGGTTTTTTATTTATTTCCAGCGGTTGTAATTAGGAAAAAAACCTATAATGTAATACAGCCTGCAGTATATAAGCAAGCATCCAGAAGTCAAGCTGAGAGGCCTTGTGCATTGGTTCACATAGTAAGGAGTCACCTTGAAGAATGTTATCTTGTTCATGCAACCCCCTGTCTTTAGCTATGTCGCTGCAGGGTTTTCAGCCTCTGCAGGAGCCTCTGAGATTGAGGCAGAGCCTGAGAAGGGCTGTGATGTGTGGTAGCTGAGCTTTCGTGTCTGTCGAAATTCCAAGGGTTGTGAGAGACTGATTACAAATCTCATTGCCTGGAAGAGTGTGCTGAGAACAATTCCTCTCTGCAGTTTCCCTTGGTAAAACATGACTCCTTACCCTAGGTCAGATGAAGGACTCTCAATATTAAAACCTAACTGTAAGGTAGAATAGTTTGTCTCCTGCCCATGTTGGAATACACCTTGGGTCTATGGTGTGTTCTATGTGAGCTCTGTCCCAACAAGATGTCAAAGCAGAGTACTGAGAGCTGCTCTGTGGCTTGTGGCGAATGGACAGAGTTGTGTTATTCTCAGGTCAAAAAATTCTGTCAGTGCTATAATTGCTTCCTTTGGCAAACTAAGCAGAGAATTAAAAAAACCAAAACTGATGGAACTGTTGTAATCTAGAAATGTTCGTGTAATAGGAAACTAAGGTATGTAAATATAATGTATGTATTTCTTCTGCCTACAAAATAGTGTGGGTTTTTTGAGAGATGCAATACTTTGATTTCAAGAACTGTTAAGCCAGCTTTTTTCACAAGCCTTAAGTTTGCTTTATATGCTGAGTAATAATGTCGTTGTTGTTTAAGTTTACTAGATCAAAGCTGCAGGTGGTTCTGGTTTTCAGTAGTACAGGTTTGCCAAAACCTCAGCCTTGCATATAACTCATTTTATAGGTGCTAGACAATGTCCCTACAGCTGCCAGGTGACTGGGAGAATGTAAAAGGTCAATAAATGTTTCACACAAATATTCAGCAGATATTTCCCTGTCAATGATTAAGAATTTATGAAACCCCCTAGATTTAAAAAGAGCCCCTAGATTTTTTAGAAGAAACAAACATTATATTATTTCTTCCAAAATGTAGTCAGACTGACTGAGTTTTCTCCAGCAACAGAGAGCATTTGAGAACACTAATTACTTTTCCAGTTAGTTCCAGCAGTTCCACAGTTAGTTCCCAGGAATAGTCTGCAACCTGGAGTGACACCACTATTTCATTTTTTTTTACCACAGATGCAATATTCTGCTTTATTAAAGAAATATTCTTTAAGAAATTTCCAACCAAATTGTTTAAAAATACGTGATTTCACTTCTGCTTCCCAGTCCTCTATCCATCTGTCGCTGAATTAAAAGTATTTCTGGTACTGCTTGTTTATAGAGTTGTATTTGCTAACCTTTAGACTTTAAATCACTTTAAAAACTAAATTTGTATCAAAGTTTCCTGATCACTCGATCATAGTGAGCTCTGGATGGATGGAGGGATAGACAGATATAAAAAAATGATTAATGAGCACAGTAAGTTATGTGTATGTATGTGTGCAATAAGCTACACTGGCATGTGCACTGGACGCTCTTTCCTTAATAGCTTCACAGTAATAGTGTCACATTCACTTGACAAAAAGGTTTTCACAGAGGTGAGAGATGGTTATTTCTAGACTCTGTCACCAGCCATAAGCTTTTACTAGTTAATTGTGGCCCTACAGACAGGACCAGATATGAAGCTTTCTGCTAAAGATGGTATCAATCTCATTCCCTTTGATTTTATATTTTTCTCGTTTATTGTTACCAGCTGTTTATTGGAATCGTTTTTTTAATAATCATGATCCCAAAGAACTGCTAAAAATCTAAGATTGGCAACACGGTCCAATACAAAGTGTATTAAAATCAGTAGAAAGAAAATTTCATATATTTCAGTGTTAATGGATCAAGTCCAGTCCTGTATTTTGTTCACATGATTCTCAAAAGTGAGGAGAAGTTACCCACTTAGATCCCTCCTTCTAGAAAACATGTGAGTGCGAGCATTAGCTCCTTTCAGGAGTCTGTGACAGGTTGGAGAGCACCCTGCATCGGCCACCTTGGATGGCAGTGATGTTGTAGGGCTTAAAAATACGGTCGATGTGAACATCTCGGCAGATAACCAAAGGAAAGTACTGCTTTTCTGCTTTTTTTTTTATGGTTTCTGTTGTTCTCTGACCTGTTTTAGGGTGATAAAATGTGGTGGGGAAAGAAGCATAACATGGAAAAATGCAGACTGTAGAAAAAGATTGCTTGTAATAAACCCATTTGTTTTAAGCATGCAGACATTAAGTTTTGTAACGTGGGCCTGCAGCCCCGGCTGCCTGTGAAGTCAAGATGAACTTAGCTTGTAGATTTTGGAAAAATGAAAAGTTGCTTTAAGCATGTTGCTTTGGCCTGCATTTGTTCCTGACCCAAAGACATTTTAAAATACTGTAACTTTAAATAGCTTTCAGTCTGAATAACAGCCTATGTGATCGTTAATTCACATTGTCATGTGTGGTCTGAAGATCATCAGCACTATGCTTTGTTTGGTAAATTGCAGATTAACGTGCTGTTTCATGAAACAACTTTCATTTAGGTCACTGGTGCTGATCAGCAAGTATCCGAATCAAGCCTGGGTGAGAGGAACATGACCCTGGACTTCAGCACACAAGGTGATCATAGCATTGTGTTTGTCTGCCTGAGAAAGACATAGTAGGTTTTATGAGTGGACTCTTCCTTCTCTTCTGCCCTTCCCAATGGAGAAAGAAAGATTTGCTTTCAGATTGTTCATGGCAAGAAGAAACTTTTCAGTCATAAACTGATGTGGCTGGAAATGTAGAGGAGAGCTTTGCTCAACAAAGCATGCTCTATAAAGCCCTTTGAGGCAGATATGGCAACTGACCTTTCTCTTTGAAGAGTTATGCTCTTAACTGGCAGTTTGTTTCTGTGTTGGGTTTGTGTCTGGCATGGGCTTAAACCACGACAGTTTCTCATTGTCAGCAGCCATGGGTGCCTTCCTGACAGTCCGCCCGCCTTCTCCGTATAGTAGTCTCCAGCGTGGCTTCCAGAAGCCTGGATAGGAAGCTGGCTGCCCGAGGCGTAGATGCCGTGACAGCAGGCAGATGAGCAGCAGCACAGAGCCGCTTTGGTTACAGTTTAAAAGTTACTAGAATCAGCCTCCTTACCGCATCTGCTGCTGTGGAGGGCTCTAAACATTATAGCCTCAGGCGATCGTGAGATGTTGAGCAGTTTGTATAAAATAATTATTTTAGTAAAACTTCGGTTAAATACTTGCTCCACATCGTATCGTATTAATGAAGAGACTGGCAGGTGTTCTCAGTTACACGCATGGGCAGAGCCGTCCACAAACTGGCACCAGTCCTCTCTCGCCCGGCATCCAAAACGGGACTCACAGCCGAACAGGTTAGTGAGGAGCGTCTCTCCTGTGAGGTAGGATTTCAGTTTCCAGAGCCACCAGGGGTCACCTTTAACTACTGCTAAATACTAATCTATTTTTTAATAAAATTTGTGTGACAACTGCAACGGTGTGTGACAACTGAAGGTGATTACTTCTGAAGTGCTGCTGTTAACAGGGGTTGTGGCTACTAAGCTAGTCCCTGAAGTTCATAAGTACCTTTGGACTTCACATCCACATATGAAAGTCTAAATTTTAAGGCCAGTGCTAGAGTTTTGACTATTGGGAAGCAGTGGACCCGCTCTTAAGCCAGGGTTTTGACATTACACTTTGTGCTGTGTGCACATGAAAGGGAACGAGGAAGGTCCTAGGGCATGTTTTATTCGTGTAAAATCAGTGTAAAACCAGAGAGAGTTTGGACAGTGAGGAACTGTGCTCTGAAGACAGGCACAAACTGGATGCTTACATTTAACCATACAAACTTTATAGATATTTCAAAGTCAGGGTTAAGGGAATATATTGCAAGGAGTCATGTAACTAGGTAAAAAATGTTTAAGGAGTCATCACAAATATAAACAGTCCAATAAACCACTGCAGCTTTGCACCTAACACATAATAAATGATGTATATTCTGCATTTTTAACATAATGTATATGTATGGTTGTATTTCCATTATTGATTATTATGTTCTTTTTGGCAATGTTACAATTGCCTTCTGAGTCTTACAAATTTATTTCCTGGAAGCCCCAAAATAAAATAGTTGTTGCGATTCATTTTATGTAAGTTGATGTCCTTCATGAAATCCAGCCACATGAATATTTGATTTTAATTTTGATAGTTCATTTCCCTATACTGTAGAAAGCTTTCTGCTTGCTAGACCCCAGAACATGGGAGCACTTGACAAATGTTCTATTTTTCTATTTCTGAACAAAGCAGTTAAAATACATTTGTCTCATCAATATGGTTAGCAACAGCTGTTAGGCAGAAAAGGGCATCAGAGGCTGCTGAGCTGAGTAGAATTGTGTGATTTGTATTTTGTAAATATTTTTATTTTGGATGCAGGACTTTAAGAAATTCCAGTCTGTTAGGGGAAAAGTGTTGTCTATATTATTGGAGCCTGCAGACTGGATTATCTAGTTTTATTTTATTTTTTGCCTTCATGTTGGGAATAATGCAGAACCAAAGACTTGTTTTCATATAAGGGGCCATTTTCATCCATAATATGTTTGGAGACATGACGATCTCAGTTTTTCGTATGAAGGGCTTCAAAGACGATGTGACCTTGCATAGAATGTTTAGCTTCTGTCTGAAGTGTCACATCTTTTGTGTGCCAGAGATGTCATCTGCTGGTGAATTCTCATTTGTAGAGAACTTAGACACATGCTCCAGGGAAATAATGATTGATTAGAAACTGTTAGGCGCAAAGCTAATATTGACAGTAGTGATAGGTTTAAAAATGATCAGAGCCATGTTTCTTCAGCACTTGTGTAAAGTTTTACTTTTTTATGACAGGCAATCTCTCACTGTGTAGCAGACCAGTAGTGAAAGAACTGTTCCTGTCCGAATGTAGTTACAGATAATACTTTGGTATCAGTGCTCAAGCTTATTAGATGAGGAAAATACTCGAGGACAGCACAAATTGTGCTGAAGGGCACTAGAAACACGGAAATTACTTCAGTCCTCTTTGCTTTGGCATTCTGTCATCTGAAAGCTTTTGAGTTAATTATTGATGTACTTTGCAATTACTAAATTTAAATCAGTATATTGAAAACAGGGCCGGGGGGGGGGGGGGGGGGGGGAGGAATGGGAGAGGGACAAGAAGTTCTTTTTCTCTGAATCTCTTGTTTTGCAGTTTCTGCTGAGAGCACCTCTTTGATGGTCTCTGAGGCTGTTGATATCCCAGACCGTAGCTACTCCTCTGAGGATCTTTGTTCGCTGGAAGTTCAAGGATCTCTCCGTTCTGTAGATCTTTCTTCCTACTGTACAACCCCCAAAGGGGCTACGGACCAGAGCTGCAGCACTCTTGATTACAGCGCCCACTGCAGGTTCCACAGAACTCACTCAGAGGGTTTTCGGGATGAGGATGACAGTTCCCACAGCCGAGTCTCTACAGACGGGTCTCAAGGCCAGGAAAAGAACTGTGCCCGTGGCAGGTCCTTGGACTGTTCCTCAGAGAATTTCAGCCCCTCAGAAAGAGAACTGCAGAGTTCTGCTCAAGAGAGCAATGCCATGCCACCTTTGAAGCAAAAGAAAATCTGCTATGCAGACTTCAGCCAGCCTCCTGTCCCTTCCCAGACCTCTCCCTGCTTTGGGCCCACAAATACTTCACCATATGCAAGCAGCCAGGAGAATTCTGTCCAGCAGCACCCCATTACGAAATACCGAATTTCAAACATAGTCCGGTCAACTAGTGACCCCGTATCGTGTTCGTCTTATACAGAAGGTAGGTGTAGCACCACGAGGCTGATGGAGCGTGGAACAAATGAGTGGTGTGTGATTTATGCAGCAACTGGTACTTCTGGAAATTACATTAAACGTTCCAATGAGAGTTGACTTATGTGTGAAGGCTCTCGTTCTAGGCGCACTTTCTAGATTTGAAATTTTTTAAGAATGGAAATGGGAAGAGGAACAGAGTGAAATTAATTTTGGCTTTTCTGAATTATAGCAGCCTTTCTGCACTGCTCAGAAAACCATCTCTTGAGTAGATGCTTCTGCCTCTCTATGACTGTTATATTGAGAAGCTAAACTCAGAAGTGGAATGGTAGCTGGGGTCTGTTTAGGAAACAATTAACGGAGCTGTTGTGCTTGTAATACAGCAGGTTGTGCTTCCTGAAGGTGACACTGACAGTATTGGTGCATGTCAGAGGCAGTCAGAGTGTGACTGAGTAGTGCCAAGTTATTTATGGTGAAAAGTTTTAAAGGGCAGAGAAAGGAAAGACGAGGCCCACAACAAGATGACAAATGAAAAGGAAAGCTTTTGACTGTCGTGGACAAGCAACTTGTGCTACAAATCTCCATTGAGACAAGTAGGGAAGAAGAGAGGAGATGTTTTGTTAGCTGAACATTGTATCTTCATCAAAATCTGCTTGTTAGTGGAAAAATGTATGATTTAGAAGAGAATGGCTGAATCAAATCATAGCAGGAATATAGAACTGTCTAAACCATTTGAAAAGTGCAGTTTTACAGAAGGAAGTAAGCTGTTCAGAGAGATTCAAAGGGGTAAGCTGGAGAAGTGGTTTGAAAGTAAAGATTAAAAGCTTTGTAAGATGTCATAGATTGGGCTGTTACAGATGGGTTCACTGGGCTGCTTTCTAAGGGATTTAGAGGAAGAATCATCGGACTAGCTCAAAACAAAAGTAGACAAAATGCTGGAGTAACTGGTTTCATTTAGGAAGATAGTGTGTTGGATCTATTAGACTTTTTGCATCATTATTTATGTGAATTTCAGAGACCTCATACTTAGCTCAATAATTGAATGTCTTTCACCTTTAGAAATCTAGCCTCAGCACCCTGTCCAGGAAAAGTGAATCTTTAATCTAGAAGTCTGCATTTGTTTTATGAAATTTACTCTACTAGGATATACATGCTATGAAGCTGCTGTGCAGACAGTAAGTAGGAATTGCTAAATCCTTTCTACTGTGCCAAAGACAAGAACAGCCCTTTCTCTTCTGGGTCCCACTCTGCAAGCTTTCAATATTGTGCTCCCTACACTCTCTGAGTAGTGTTTGAGAGAGAGGTTGCTGTAGGCAGCTGTATCAATGTGTTCTAGCTGACTGCCGGGACACCTGGTGCAACAGCTGCTCTGCCTTCATTTTTAACGTGTCCTAAAAATATCCATCATCTTTTCTGGAGAAGTGGCATTATGGGAATTACTTTGACTAATTTCCAGGTTCTTAGCCCTACAAGAGTTGAGGGACATGGGTTGAACTTACTGAGATGTAAGTGGGCCTAGCAAAGATTGTCATAAAGGAGGAGAGCTGGTTCTGGAGATGCTGATACACACACAGCGGAGGGTGGAGCAAGAGAAGTAACTTGGAGGGAGTGTGATTGTGCTGACCTGTTTTGCCGTTCCTTTGTTGCCTACAGAAGACTCTTTAAAATTAAATCTTTAAGAGGAGTAGTTGAGTCTAGATGTGCGAGGGTTTCATTTTTATGTTTGGCAAACTACAGTTTTCACAACTTCAGATCACTTCCCCTTCCTCAAAGTTTTGTGAACTTTATTTGGAAATCATCCACCACAGGTTAGAAGCAGCACAATTCTAGTAACATGTACCGGCTGCTTGTAGCAGCCCTGAAGCTTATTTTTCCTAAGCTGTGACACACAGCTGAAGTTCTTTATAGTCTTTATAACTTTAAAAAGGCATTTGATCTAGATTTTTTTCATGACTGGCTATTGGTATTCACTGCAGAATTTTAAAATACATCCATACAGTTGAACAACAGGCAGAGGTAAAGGGAACCGACTGAGCTCCATCAGCTAACCAACCCAGAAGAAAAAGTGTTTAGGTTTTTTTAAGCAACATACACTTATTTTTTTTTTAAACTATCCTGGAGTGGACAAACTGATCCAATCAACTGACCATGTGAAAGTCAGAGCTGTAACTGTGTGCTGTTAATAGTAATAACTCATGCAAGAGACACACTGCAGATTTTGGAGAACTGAGAGGTGGGGGAGCTTCAGGCATGTTCACAAGTGGGAAAGTACAGCGGAATGGTTAGTGGGGTTTGGTTTTATCTTAGGACCTGGTCTTCCTACTTTAAGAAAAATTATTGATTTATCTTCTGATTAACCTCCCTATACAAGTCAATGTGAAGAGATTTAGAAGGACAACCTTGAAATTCACTGTGTGTTTTGCTAGATGGGTCTGGAATGTTACTGTGATTGCACTGGACTTGGTTTGGAACATAAATGATTTGTCACAGGGGTGTTGGACATGTGCAACAGCACAGTGACACAACAGCAATGACATCTGATAAATTAGTAATTTGGGAATTTTAACACTGACATAAAACTCTGGGCTTTTAGGTCAATAAAACACAATTCATGTGCTTCAAGCACATCCTCACATGATGGGGTCTTCACAGTATATATAGTCAGTAATTCTCTCGTTAATCCTTTAATGCTGAAAGTGAGCTTCTTTATTTGTTTTATCTGTCATTCCCAATAGAGAAATTACAGATGAAAGTGTAGTTTAATAAGTGCCTTTATGGTCGCTGTGTAGTCCCTGGACAATGCAAGTATGGTGGGTTCACATATATCGTCTCTGTAAGTATTAGTTCCCTCTTAAAAAAAAATTACTTGTAAATGAGTAGTTTGCACATTTTTGTATCTTTTCCCTGTAAAGTTTATCACACCAAAAGAGGACAAAATCAACTTCTAGCAGTGATGTTTGTTACAATAAACTTAATTTGTACTCAAATATGATAGGCTATGTGGCTCTATCAGTGAAGTGCCTGAGTGATTGTCGTAGTGTCTGTGTTCCAGATAATTCGGGATAATGTCTAGTGGTGTAGTTTGACTGTGCCACAAGGACATTGAGCAGTATAATAACGGAGGAGAAGACAAAACCTCTGAAATGTCTCCTCTTAATAAGCATGCCATGATTCATGTGTTGCAGTACTTCAGCATAGTAAAGCAAATTAAAGACAGAATAGAAGCTGTCTCTCTTAATTTCTTACGGATTTTCTGTGTTTATAGCATCTTACCTTTGTTTGCCTTCATTAATTATTCACTCTACCAGGGAAGATTATATGAGCTTTTCACTATTAACTTTCCCTGAAGATATGGAAGGAAACCTCTTCTAATCTACCTAGAGGTTTGAAACAGTTTAGTTTTAGGTCTTGGAAACAGATGTAAACAGCCTTAGCATAAATGTGAAGGTTTAGTCCATCTTGACTGTCACAAGCTTGAAATCAAAATGACTGCAGTGGCAATTACTGTACAGTGTGAGCTTGTCATCATTGATCCTTGTGCTGGCGTCCCAGAAACTGTCATTAGAAGGCAACTGTGTCCAGAGCGGTTTGTAGATGCTCTGTTACCACTTGTTATTGATTGGATCATCAGGAACCATAATGGTCACCTACCCATTAATTTAAGCAGTGGTGGATAGCATTTATCCTGCAAAGAATGAGAATCTATGAAAAAAAGGAGGTAGAAATATGAATAAAATGCTGGTTTTGTAGAAATAAGAGGGATTAATCTTCCTTGGTTTTTCCCATTTTCTGAGATAAACTCTGTCTACCAAGGAACTACAGGAAGGTCTGAGGTCTGCCCTTAGCAGGGAGCTTTCTGTACCTTCGGTACTTAGGCCTGAAATATTTGGGATGACAGCTGTATGACAGAGAGGAAACTATCAAGCACGAACCAAATCTTTCTATTTGTATTTATTAAATAATTAAATAAATTAAATAAACAGCTTATAGGACATTTCTGCATATAGTAGCTTCTCTTTTTGAATGGACATTTCCAAAGTAGTCTTTTTTCTGAGTAGTTTCATTCTGTAAAGGAGATAATAAAAGATTCCAATGTATTTGTCCTTGCTCTGGTGAGGGGATAGCAGAGGCTGATTGTGCTCTTTCTGTCTCTCTCTCTTTGGTTAAAGGTAGGAATTGTGCCTGGACTCCTCTATGTAGCCAACGTCAAGATGCAGGATTATCTCCAGCTATGTTAGAAACAGGTGAGGATCAGTTTTCTAAAGCAGGATCATAGGGGTTTCCTTCTTTGGCTTTAAAAATCATTAAAAGCTTCTGAGAAAGAAGCTGTAGAAAATTCAGGGCAGAAAAATCCCTTACTAACAGCATACATACATGATATACAATGCTGAGGGAACCAGCATGAAGTGAAAATAAATGAGCAAAACCAAATGCTGCAAATTGAGTCTTCTGTTTTAGTTGAGCATTTTTGCTTTCTCTCTCTTTCATACTAATCTCTCTTGTAGTATTCACTGCCTGCAATTTTCGAGGCCTAGAAATAAGCAGATGAGGATAAAGTTCGGGTGGGGGGCTGGGCCTAAAACATTACACGTTATGTACATAACACTGAGTAGCTGGTGTTTCACCTGACCATTAATGTCACCTGAAGTCCCTGAAAGCAGAGATAACAAAAATGTCTGTGATTTATAAAGTGTTTTCATTACCCCCTCATCCTAAATGCAGTCATCCTTGGTCACGGGAAAGAGTC